TCGACAACGGCAAGCGCGAAGAAAACCCCGACGAGATGAAGGAGTGAATCGAAGCTTGAGCTTCGCCTTCTAGGATAAAAATCAAACCTTTGCCACGCGACCACGATCCTCTTTCCAGCAAATCGACATACGCAAATCGACATACAAAAGTTTCCAGGCCAATACATCTAGACCCGTGCTGATGTTGACTTTCTTCATTCCGTTCATGCATATCGGTGGAGTCTCACGTGAAGCAATTTTTTTTTATATTGCCGATACTCGCCGGGGTTTCGCTCTTCCGTTTTGCGGGTAACTCAAAACCGCCGACCATCGGCGAAAACGGCATCTGGGGCGAAATTTACCCCCTTACTAGCAATACTACCGAGTAATTCCAATAGAAATCCCTCAATACCAAATAGAATCTAACCTAAATCGGCTTCCGGTAACTGTGTAGCTTGGCTTTGCAATGTTTTGATAAGTTCCAGATCTTCTATGTTCTAACGTTGATGGGTTTCCTAGGTTGGACATATTTACAGACCCGCTATGGGCTCTTGGGTTTTCACTTGTGCGTCCCAGGAATGGTTAAAGCTCTTCATTAACCATTCATATGCCGCCCACTATATCAAATGTTAGTTGTTTAATCGATTGTGATAACAACACGGAGAAAACATACCTGAACAGCATTCACAATGAATGCTCTGACACTGCAGACTCCAAGACCACGATAGAATGCCTTAATACCCTCGGCACGATATGTCTCTTTCGCAATTTGGAAAGAATTTAGCGTCTGGCGCTGTGGTCGTAGTACAGACTGACTCTCAACTGCCCCCGGCGAGTGATCTGCAATTGTCTGTGCCTGCAGTCGAGTCTTGATCATATCCAAAGGAAACACGGAACCCCAAGTAACAACCCCGGCAATGCCACCGCAAAGCAGAATCTTCAAAGCGGCCTGGTGTGAACCATCATCATCAGAGGTCATAAATCGTTTGCAAAGCTCATAAGACCAGAAACTGCGATATGTCAGCGCTAAGTCCCTCAATTGATACACTGGGGTATCCGGGGGTGGCGTGTTAGGTCCATACTAGAATCCATAGCCAATTGAATCTCTGGCGCTAGTAATCCCGCCCCCAAAGTAAAGACCCCTCCAGCCGCGCGTTCGGAAGATATCCTTGGCCACCGCCCACGAGGAAACCTCTGGTCGGCGATCCAGCTGGGCCCGACACTTGATGAACTCTGTTGGAGATGAGATGGACCAACTAGCCAGTCCGCCTGCGGCACCGGCCAGCCAAATCTTGTAAGCTGACACCCCCACGGGGTTGGTGGGATCCGTTACGGACCCGTCCAATGCTGTTAAGGATCGGTTGTAAGCGACAAAAAGAATAGCATTGAGAGCTCCATAGCCTAAGATCGGAGCAGCCGCGCCTATAGAGATGATCAATTAATTGTCATCGGTATCACCGAAACTGTGTATCACGGACCTCGCACAAGAGTGCTTGCTTTTTCAAAGCGGCTCAATTGTGCCGATGGCACTTCTGCATGTGCGTTTCCCGCCTGTAGCTGGACTTTGATGACATCGAGAGGGTTGCCAATTATGATCCCAATGGCCCCGCTAATGTAGCCGGCCCAAAAGTCTGTGGCCATGAGATCTTAGTTTCAAAGGCCAGATTGAAGATAATTGACACAGGCGCCAATGATTCGAAGCTCCCCAGATTTCCATAGTGGGGTGACCCCTCACGTGCCGAGGCGAGATTATAATCGGTATAGGGCATTCCCGGGGCGGCCCGGGGCAGATGGGCCTTCTAAGGTTATTGTGTAGTTTCCCGATACTCTACGGAAGCTAGAAAGCTTGCATGTGGGGATTATGTCGCTGGGATAAAGATTGTGTCTGTAACCCTTCTCATTGTAAGAACGACTTCATGTGATAAATGATGTCCAGTGTCACGTATCGCAATTTCATTCCTGCATAGTTTTTCTTCACATTTACCAACCTATGCCCCCCTCATAATAAACCTCCCTGACTCATACGCTTCTTCTATAAAAATTTCCCTATCTAGTAGTTCTTGATGGTGTCGGTAGTCCGTTGCCTTCTGGCTGAACTCCCAATATAGCTCCTTCCTGACAAAGTCGCGATGCCTCTTAATTCGCTCACTCGCTTCGCGGCTGATCTATTATGCTATTATAGTCCTGTCTGCCTTTACTCTTTGTCCTATAATTCCTATACTTACAACAAATCTACCATCTACTGAGTATTGGCATCCGATGCAGCGCCTTGGACTCGTGTATAGGATCCTATCCAAACGACGGGTCGTATCCTGTAGGATAATCTCGCATCCGAAGCAGACATAGATATAATCCTCTCGGTCACCCGGAATTGGTTGAGTTAGGACTGGTGGGGTTGTCATAGTAGACGTGGTAGATGGAGGTGGAGTGGTGGGGAAGAGAGGGGGGGATCCAGAGCGATCTATCTAATAATCCTACGCAATCTAAAACGGGTTACCTAGCAGTGCCCCAACCTCACTTAGTGGCCAATAGTATCGTCATTATCTCGAGCTAGCTGGAAATGCAATCATTGGAGCTGAATTTCGAATCTCTCATGTGCCGGCCACCCCTCCTGAAGTAAATGACATTTTCACGGCCGGTGATCTTACTTCTCGGTAGCTAGTGATATTTAGAAGGACAACAAAAATATATCAAAAAGGTACATCTGGCATCTAAGTTCCTTGTCGATGTTATAGTTAGAAGGATAATAATGAGCCATAAAAGTACCTCCAGGAACGGGGATAATACAGTTACTCTCTTATGTACGAGATAACAATGCGATAAAAGGAATCTAGCCACACCCATGTACATGATACAGCTCTAGTTCATTAGTACATACACGGGTCAAATATACTTTCCTGCCCTCTTTGTTCTACAAAAAGAATGTGGATCATTCTGAGTGGATTAGGTTAGGGATTGACTACGGGGTAGAGATATTGGTATTATACTCATCTCAGTACTTTTATGAACCGATCTGAATGATACATGTGATGTAAGAGATTATATATCATCTATGAATGCGATTTAATGCATGGAGTAATCCATTAAATCTCCATGCCCAGGGCTGATGATTAGGGCTTAGCTCTTACCAAGGTTTCCAAGGTCCTTTATCCTCCCCTGTCTTTTCTCCCCTTGTCACCTTTTGTTTAATTATCGTTGCATTTGTCAGAATACAATTGCATTTGTCACATCTAATTGCAACTTGGAATCACATTTGTCAGCGTAGCTATAAGCCGGGGGTTGGGGGCTAGAAATCCCATGATCCCTGCAGGGCTACGGAGTACATATGTAGCCAACTTTTATCATGTCCCAACATCGCAATCTAAATTTATCATTAACTCCATCATTTCTATCATGACAAGCACTGTCTATCTCATTACTGGCGCTAGCCGCGGAATTGGTCGTGGTCTAGTTGAGACATTCCTCGCTCGCTCCAACACTACTGTCATCGCAGCTGTCCGTGACCCCGCTACTGCCCCCTCACAGTCACTGAAATCCCTCCCTAAAGGCGACTCCTCTCGCCTGATAGTGGTGAAAATCGACGCAAAGTCTCCCACTGACCCGGCTGCTGCCGTCGAGACCCTCCAAACAGAGCACAGCATCGACCACATAGATGTGGTGATCGCTAACGCCGGTATTAGTGAGGACCTCTCGCCCGTGCACGAGGTTTCCGTTTCTGTGATACAAGATCATGTCGAAGTCAATGCCTACGGGCCAATTTACCTCTACCAGGCGGTCTATCCGCTGCTTAAGAAGAGCACGAAGCCCACCTTTGTGGGAGTCGGCAGTCCTTTAGGTAGCATCGGCGGTATGGAGCAGCGCCCGTACCCAAATGCCGCGTATGGTCCTAGCAAGGCTATGCTACACTGGATTGTGCGCAAGATTCACTTCGAAAATGAGGACTTTGTGAGCTTCGTTGCTGATCCTGGGTAAGTGCCTGTTGCTCTCCAATGGTCTTTATGTCGCAAACATATTAACGAGCTTGTAGATTCGTCCAGACTGAGATGGGCAATGCCGGTGCCAAAGCAGTCGGGCTGGAGAAGGCCTTCCAGACGGTCGAAGAGAGCGTTGGCGGTATTGTAAAGACGATTGATGAGGGGACGAGGGAGTCGATTGGTGGGCAGCTGCGCGTGTGGGATGGAACGGAGTTCCCCTGGTAAATGGAAATATTAGAGTCATCTTTGCGTGACCTTTTGGTTACTCTTTGAGTTCGATGCCTCTCTCGATATTGGCTAGTCTTCTTCCTTCGGACATTGCACAGAAGGACTGGTATTCATGATCACCTTCCATTGGCACAGAGACATAGTAATATCAAATTTGATAAATCAGATTGTACAAAATATTACTGGCTCTGTACACTGCTAGTTCTGCTGCCACCCTTTTGGCAGTTTTATTTGGGTACATCATGTCAATACGATATGACCTGGCTTTTCAATAGATTAGTTTGAAATTTCGGCTTTTGCTTTCTGTCAGCACAAACGATATTAAATATGATCCATAGATGTTGGTAAGAGACTAGCAATGCCTTCTTATTATAGTACAGACAGACCAATCAAATAACCGTCATAGCAGAAAGAAATGACACGATTCTTGCTCTTGGAATATGTAGTATACCTACATAGGTAACTGAGAACACTTATGATTATCAAGCGCGAACACAAACGTGAATCCCAACGAAAAAAAATGCCTGGACGTGGTCCGAAGCATCCTTTCGCATCATTCCTTTACCCTCTGGTCGGATCTTACAATCTTCTACACGCCCCACAATCATGGCGGATTTCTTGGAAAATCTAGAGGAAAGGGTTCGCTCCCTCAACAAAAATATGGCCCCCTTTTAGCGAGAGCAGGGAAATTGTCGATGAGACAAGAGAAATCTCAGACCTCATCCAAGCCCAAAATCCCAATTCGAAAAGGGATGCGGCCAGACTGCCGATCAAAGCCGTCACTGATCTGCATACCATGACTGTTCTTCCTCACAGGCGATGAGCCCACCGATGGGGAACTCTGTCTCACAGATGGTGAGATAGTCTCAGTGCCGAATCATCTCGGTATACTTGATATATCTATACTGTTTTATACCTGTATGCTACAGTGGGTGGCGTACGCGGGCGAGACAGTATAACGTGGCACACGTTCACTTAAGCGATCCTTCGATTATCTACTCAGCACCCAAGATGGCAGAGGAATTCTTGTCCTTGAAGACGAACCATCGGACGACACCCTGCAGAACTGCGCCTGTGCTCCTCTTGCCACAGTGGTCGAATGGGACGAAGACGGCAAATGGCTGCCACCCCCAACAGGGGTAAGGCTCTCCGACGAACTGGCATACATCGCCACAAAGAGTGATATATCAAGCAAGACCCTGAAACAAACATACTCTTTCGACTTTGACGGGAATGGCATGATCCAGGTTACATATACACCTGAAGACCCAGCACCGTCATTTGGGCCGGAGCGTCTTTCACTTAGCGATAACTAGAAATCAAGTTCATTGAAAAAAACCAAGATACATGCTTCATTGCACTCAGCGTATATAATCCACTACCAAGCTGGCTAGAAGAACGATAGTGAGTTCGAGTAGAGCCATCTAGCCTGGCGAAGTAGCATTTTGCTCTGCGATAATTCCCATACCGCGTCCATGAAATTTACAGGGCATAACCCCATTGAATTAAAACCCGTTGGACAGTGGCCATTGCAAGAAATCATAGAGATTGGCATCATACTCTTCATTGCTAGCCATGTTAAACCGAGCACAAGTGATAACTGATTTTCAATGTTACTTCAGCGTTGTCCAAAGTAGTTGGACCAGGGGGCCTATGTTACAATGAGTCCAATGTAATATAAAATTTCAGTCAGCCGAGTTAACACAGGGAAACAGCCCCGAGGTTGTATGTTCTTGTCGGAAGGTGGTTGTTTAGGGGCATGTATATATGTATATCACACACGTGACTTCCCTAAAAAGGCCCCACGTGAAGCTCGTACCACTATACCCTATTGGGCGGTCAGTTGTTTTGGGACGCGGCAGTTTGGTGTTTGGGAGCCTCAAGTGAACGCGCGACGCGTCGACAACTCACACTTGCCTCACCACGACTTTGGGACCATTGTACAGCAGGAGCTTGGTGTATTCGTTTTGTCTATTTTGGGAGAAATGTGAGTTCTCGTGTTAATAATTTCAAAGTCTCTATGCTGACATGCCTGGAAGGTATCGACAACGCCCGGCCGGTGGCGACGCAAACGTCAAGACCCCATTACAACCGAAATCCGTGAACGCTCAGAACTCGATTGACCGACTTGTAAGACCATTCAAATGTCCGGGGACTGCGACGCCCACCCGGGCATCTGAAAAACCATCGAGAAAGAGACGAAAGGTCAACTATGCCAATGCCGATGGAAGCGTGGAGGATGGAGAGGAGAAGCCATACACGAATGATGACCGGCTCGCTTTGGAAACAAGAGAGGCCAACAAATTTCCCGCGTACAAACCAAAGGACAAAGATGTGGCGTTCAGGACACGATTTCAGGTTCCGTTCATCAACAAAGCCGCCGGCGAGTACAGTTCTGGTCGGGTGGCTCCGACATTGGGGATGCGGCGAGGCGCGACATTTGTGGTCAAGCCACTACATGACCCAAGTGGGGAATTCGCGATCGTTTTATACGACCCTACAGTAGACGATGTCGCCGAGGAACCTGCGCCTAAAAGCCTAGAGGCACCGACGGAGGATACACCAAAATTGGATGAGCCAATTATGCATAAGAGTCTAGCAGACATTCTGGGGCTCAAAAAGGATGTGGAAGAGAGACCAAAGGTGCCTGTCGTCATTGATCCGAGACTGTGTAAAGTGCTTCGACCACATCAAGTCGAGGGTGTGAAGGTATGGCGTCCCAAGATGAGCTGTGGCATGAGAGCAAAGCTGACACCACGTTTACGCATAGTTCCTTTACCGATGTGTTACTGGGTTGGTCGACAAGAACGCGAATGGATGTATCATGGCAGACGGCATGGGACTTGGTAAAACGGTGAGCTTGGCCGACCCAATTTTCATACCTTGGTTCTAACGAGTGCAGCTTCAATGTATCGCATTGATGTGGACACTACTCAAACAGTCCTCAGAGGCCGGAAAAACTACCATTCAGAAATGCGTGATTGCATGTCCGTCAAGTTTGGTTGGTAATTGGGCCAACGAACTGGGTGAGTTATGCGTGGTACCCTAGTTATTATAAGCTCGACTGACCATATCAGTGAAATGGCTTGGAAAGGACGCCACCACACCTTTTGCAATCGATGGAAAGGCCACAAAAGCGGAGTTAATAACTCAGATCAAGCAGTGGGCCATTGCATCAGGGCGTGGAATCGTCAGGCCCGTCCTTATTGTGTCCTACGAGACACTCCGTATGTATGCGGATACTTTGAGTGATACCCCGATTGGACTTCTCCTATGTGATGAAGGTCATCGACTAAAAAATAAGGAAAGCTTGACATGGACGGCTTTGAATCAACTCAATGTTACTCGCCGAGTGATTCTTTCTGGAACACCTATCCAGAACGATCTGTCTGAGTACTTTGCTCTTCTTCACTTCGCAAACCCGAACCTTCTTGGCTCTCAGGCTGATTTCCGAAAGAGGTTCGAACTACCGATTCTGCGGGGTCGGGATGCTTTGGGCACAGATGCAGAAAAGAAGCTGGGAGATGAACGATTGCTGGAACTCTCTGGGATTGTCAACAAGTTCATTATCCGGCGAACCAATGAGCTCCTTTCAAAATACTTGCCCGTCAAGTATGAGCATGTTGTGTTCTGCAACATGTCACAGTTCCAGCGCGGTCTGTACAATCACTTCATCAAGAGCCCGGAGATCCAAAGCCTTCTTCGTGGAAAAGGCAGCCAGCCGCTGAAAGCAATCGGTCTTTTGAAAAAGCTTTGCAACCATCCGGATCTACTTGATCTAGCGAATGACCTTCCAGGATGCGAGCATACCTTCCCCGAGGACTATTCACCCCCGGATACTCGAGGTCGCGATAGAGAAATCAAGAGTTGGTACTCTGGCAAGATGATGGTTCTCGATCGCATGCTAGCCCGAATCCGACAAGACACCAACGATAAAATCGTTCTCATCAGCAATTACACTCAAACCCTTGACCTTTTCGAGAAGCTCTGCCGGTCACGGGGCTACGGCTCCTTACGTCTCGATGGCACTATGAATATCAAGAAGCGCACAAAGCTCGTCGACAGATTCAATGACCCCGACGGGCAGGAATTCGTATTCCTGCTGAGTAGTAAGGCCGGTGGCTGTGGACTTAATTTAATTGGCGCCAACCGTCTGGTACTATTCGATCCAGACTGGAACCCAGCCGCTGACCAACAAGCGCTAGCACGAGTGTGGCGAGACGGACAAAAGAAAGACTGTTTCGTCTACCGATTCATTGCAACAGGTTCAATCGAAGAGAAAATCTTCCAACGCCAGTCCCACAAACAGTCCCTCTCGTCGTGCGTCGTGGACTCCGCAGAAGATGTCGAGCGTCATTTCTCCCTCGACTCCCTGCGTGAACTCTTCCAGTTTAAACCAGACACTCGGAGTGACACCCATGACACTTTCAAGTGCAAACGGTGTCGACCGGACGGCTTGCAATATATTAAGGCTCCCGCTATGCTGTATGGTGATACTAGTTCGTGGAACCATTTTGTCAATACCGGCGAGAAGGGGCCGCTCAATCAAATCCAGGATCTACTTCTTCGGCAAGAGACTGGCGAGCAAGATGTTTCGGCTATTTTCCAGTATATCAGTCACTGATACACTTATTTGGCATACTTGGGCGGGTCTGGAGTTTATTACAGTATTGGGTTTGATGTATCTTTGGAGCGTATTCATTTAGGAAGCGAGCAATTATGACCATAGAACGAATTCAATGTTTTTGTTTTGATTTTGTATCATCAAGAGCTACGTATATTCACCAAAAGACGAATGGCTATGAATACTACAATCAAAGAGAACTAGCTAATCGTATACCAAAACGAGAAGTCAATAGACAAATTTGAGAGAAGTTAAGAAATGTGATCTCATTGAGAACCATCAATACCTATTCACAAGCGATAACTATTCACAGACGAACGATCCCGGGTATGATGACAACGAAACGATCCAGCTAAGTACAAGACACAAAAAGAAAGGTCTATGGAGGAGACAAGTTCCAGCTCTAGTTACATGTGTAACTATTTCTTCCTCCGTCCTCCAATACCCAGGCGCCCCAGATTGGGAAGACTAGACTTGTGTTTATGAGAGGATGATCCAGCCTTTGCCGTACTGCTGTCCAATGCACGCCCGGAAGCAGTGCCACTAGCACCAGGACCGGATCCTCCTAATCCAGCATTTCCAGCAGCAGCGTTACCAGGGCCCGGGACACCGCGCGGGGCATCGGGTAGACTAGATCGGTCCTTGGGACGGTCTGCAGCGGCGACGGAGAGGGCAGCTGTAAGCGAGGGGTTGTTCAGGGGTCCAGACTGGTCGAAGGAGTGGCGGGCAGAGCCCTGGGATCGACGGGCTCGCTCCTGGACAGACTTGAACTTTTCAAGGAGTTCGACCCAGCGGATGGAGTTCTCGTCACGGGGTTTCAGGCGGGTGCCTGTGGAACGGTCGAAAGATGGACCAGTTTGGGCAGTGCTAGGGAATCTTGTCTCAGTAAACCTTGGGGTCGAATGCGGGGGGCAGTGGCCATACCTGCGGGGAGCACCGTGGAGGAAACCAATGTTGCTGACGCTGTTCAGACGGTTCTTGAGGGCGGCGAAGGCAGAGCTCTGGGGGAGGAGCATGAGGACGCCGTAGAGACATTTGTACAGGAAGGGGTATTTTTCGGGTTCAAGGAGTTGGAGGCGGAGATCTGTTGGAATTAGCTGCTGGGACTGGGGTTGTTTTGGTGGGAAAAAACGGACATGTGAATACTGGTGACTCTAGTAGTTGCACCAGTTTGTCGATTTGGATTAGCATATTAACAGTCATTTCCAACTCGGCACTGCAGATGGTCTTGTCAGTACACTGTTGTAGTGGATGGAGCTGGTATACTGACAAGATCTGGAGGAGATTGTACGCCTGCTCATAAGCCTGAGCAAGGAGACAGAGAGAGAACGTAGAGACAGCGTTGTGGCACCACGACCGGAAAAGTCCAACAAAGAACATTTGACCATCCTAAACAATACATTAGCCTCAAAAAATCAAGGGAAGGTAACCGGGGGTATTACTTTTGAATCGAGGTTTCTCAGGCGCTTCCTCAATTCCGAAAGCTCGGGCGCAGTGATGAGGTTGTTGTTCAAGTTCTGGACCATGATACTGGCAAACTCAAGATCCTGACGATACGTTAGCATAGAATACCCCCAAAGTGTGCAATTAACATCACCTCTTCCTTCTCGAGGCAATCCGCCAAAGTCCGGTAGATACGCTCGGGGCTCAGATTCAGAGAAAGTTGCCTGATAATCAGATTCCCGCGCACTTCGAGCAAATGTCTATCCGTGGAGTAGAGCTGCAACAAGTTGACCATGAAAGAGGTAAAGTAGCTATCCTCGCTGTTTCTTGAGATCTGCGAAAGGAGCTGCAGATCTTTGGTTACAACCGCCTCCGAAGGGTCGGATAGCGTTTTTAGCAAAGCTGGGAAGGTACCGTCGTTGAAAGCGACCACCTTCCGCGGGGCTTTACGGTGGAGCATGATGAGCCATACAAGGGCCGCAACTCTAGTGGCTTCATTTTCATTGAGGAATTGTAGAGTGAGGGAATTGACAGCAGCAGCGTAATCAAGATCGGCAGGAGGCACCGGCGTGGAAACAATGCTACTACGTGGTGTAGCCGCGACAGAATTATCCTGTGTTGTTTGTTTTTTTGTGTCAATGCTCGCTGTGTCTGAAGGCCTAGCTCCGGGAGTCGATGACCGTCGCTCCAAGGTTTCTTTGCTGGCTGTAATGGAGGGGATCTTTGCCGGTGGCGCCTGGTGGTCCTCGGTCGTATCATCTGACAAAGAGTAGATGTATTGGACAAGGGACGTGTTGACTTGGTTTGCTGCTTTTCGTACTTGATCTGAGCCACTGGACATGGCTGGGAGTACCTGAGTCAACAGTCGCGGAACGAAAGGAAGAATGTCTTCAGGGCTGATCTCGAAAAAGGAATCAAGCCAACGAAGGGCCGTCAATTGCATTTCCTCCTCTAAACACACGTAAGTACATGGGAATCAAAATTATAGAGTCACTCTTACCATAGGAGGTGTTGACAAAGCTGACAAGGATTTCAAGAATCTTGGGGTGGTCGATTTGTACATCTTGTCCCGGGATCCAATCTCCATCGGCCTGGGTGATTTCATCATCAAGCGTGATATCTGAGGCCGAGTCTGCGACGGCAACTTCATACCTGTCGTCACTGGGACCATCGGCCTGGTTATTTTGCTCTGTCGCGTTGCTCATCACATCGCTGTTGACCGAATGTCTGTTGCTTTTTTGAGCCTTCCGGCTTTCTTCAATCCCCTTTTTAAGTTGGGTAATCCTTTTAATCTCCAACAAGAACCGATCAAGCAGACCTTGGGTTGCGATGTTCACGTCTTTGTTCGGTCCGCCAAGGAACTTGATCAATCCCTCCAGGAACTCTGGCAAATAGCTCACAAGCTCTAGGTCAGGGATTGTATCTAGAAGGGTAAGCCACGAGACCAAAAAGTTGCGAGTGAACGGTTGGATCACATGTATCCGATCCTTAAGCAGAGGAATGAATCGCGCAAGAGAGAACGCCATGGGAGGGTCTTGGTCTTCCTGATTCTCCGGTTCTGGGGTTTCCTTTTCAGAGAGCTGTAGGATCGACACATACGAAGCCGCCGATTCAGCCACGATATCTTTCACCAAGCGATCCAGAAGCTCCGCGCCGTTCTTGACGGATAGCTCCGAATCGGACGCCAGCTATATCGTATGTCAGCATATGCATTACCCCACTAAAGCTTATCGGCACCCCTTACTTTAGCCAGCGCATCGAACACCTCATTGAAGAACAGCAATATCTCTCCCTTGGCAACTTTGGCTATGTTGTACATGCTCTCGCATGCGTAGTACCGTACCCGTGCATCTTGGTCGGAGAAGCATGCGAGCACAGGCGGCACAATTTCACCCAAGTACGGTGCAACTCCTTCCTATATCCCAGGTTTCAGCCAAGATGTCTTCCAAGTCGTTGGTTAGTCACCACTCACCGATCCCAGTGCGATCGAGGCAGCAGCCAATCCGATCAGACCTCCATTCCGGGCATGGGGTTGGTGCACGGCGTATGCATAGTCGTGGCAGAGTTGTTCGACGATCTTTTGTATTTTCTCCTGCTCTCCTTGGAAAACAGCGTCACGGACAATTTTCTCGAGCCTGGTGTAAATAAACAGTGATCAGCATGGGTTCTTTCAAGTGCGGAGAGATGAAACTGGGCTGGCATACTCTAAAGCTCCCTGCTTCCTCCTGTCGTAGAGCTTGTCGTTCAATAACCGCTGAATTGCGTTATCCATGGCTCAAAGCAGCTTATGCTGCAATCTTTCCCCAGCTATGGTCGACTAAACACTGCTCATGGTGAACGGAAGGTATCTCAGCACGTTGGGTGTGGCGGGTCGGTCAGGAGCTTGAAAGTTGAATTTGAAGGGTAGGCCTGATGATAAGTCGCGCAAATAAGAAAGCTCAGATCGTCCGGCAGCTTTTCGAACTTAGTCACAGGTAAAAATGCAATCACAGGATAAGGGAGATGCGTTGGCAGTGTGGAGATGGAGAGACCAGAGCGGTGGTGTGACGTAAGGTCCTGCAGACTTGAGCCTTACCGCCTTAGGCCTTCCAAGTTTATATTCTCAAGATAAATTCAGCACACCTGCAGGTCGTGCCTAATCCGTATGCCTTTATAGAATTAATGCTTTTGTATATGTATGATAATCTTTAGGGGCAGTATGCGCGGTCGTCGATCCTTGAGAAAAATGAAAGAATTCAAGAACAAAGAAGCGAAACCAACCTTCGAAACAGGGCCGGCTTTGACTACTTGGAGTGCCCCCTTTCTAGATTTATTTTTAGATATATATACAAAGGCAGTACAAGACATGCTCCGTATGGATAGCTAGAAAGACATGCGAAAAGACATTTCAAAAGACATCGGAGTATCCTTACTATATCCCTAATATCATCTTGGGCCAACTATTCTTGTACTGTGTACTTGAATAAGAAGAAGGAAAAAAAAAAAACCTCAGAGATAAATGATTTCAATCTCGGATGTTGAGTATGAGCATCGAAGTCTAAGTAGATGAAGAATATGAAACAAGATGAAGAGAAGCAGTACATGACTAAGCAGGCATATCGCAGGAGATATCAAAATCCAAAAGGAGAAAGCAGATCCCAACTTTTTGAACATGGCTTCCCACTGACACATAGAAATCATAAAACTGAGACGCAAAGGGAAGTAAACACTCCCAGAAAAGAAAAGAAAAACCAAAACAGACATGGTGTGTGGCTGTACAAGAATTCGTCGAGACTCCGCGAAAGCATCACGCAAAGGTATAAAACAGAAGAAAAGGCCTTCAGAAAAGAGAGAAAAAGGGTGAAAATGCTAAAGACAAGTGGAAGAAAAGGAATGGCGCCGGTAACACAAAGAATCGCTCAGGCATGTCGACTTGAGATGTCTGTCGCTATCGAGATGACTGACTACCGCTACCCCATCCTGATGGGCGCCAGCTGCCGGTGGAATTTTTGGAGACGGTACTCGTAGGCGAACTTACGCCCGAGTAGACATATTCGCCGTCGACGTATTGGGCACCCGTGGAGAATGTGCTGCGGTGCTTGCGGCGGGCGTAGCGCTGTTCGAGGCGGTAGAGCTCGAGTTCTGTTTCGATATTAGCTATATTTCCTAGTATTTCCATGTCGCATTGCCATTCCGCAGTACAGTAGCATTTTGCTGGGTGTTTTTCGGGAGTCGCGGAACGTACTGGCTTGTAGCTTATGGATGAGACTCATTGTGACGAGTGAAATGCAGTGATGAATATGCTCAAGATTTGGGCCCTAAAAACTTGTTCCTGGCGGAAAAATGCCAGATGCTAGATGCTGGATATAGAAGGTGACGATCCCACGTGGTGGAACGGGGTGCAACGTAACGCAAGCGGAGCTGTACCGAAGGGAGAATTGACGTTTCTGTGTAGAACCATGGGTCAGTGTTTGAAGATCAGTCTTGACACCCAATGTCCTGTGCCTTGGTATAAATAAAAGACTGTGCTTACTTGATAAGGATAGTGGTTTCGGTAAGCGCTTGTCCCAAGGCGGAGACTTAAGATATGCAGGAGTGTCCCGGGAAGATGCAGGGTCTGAGATTGATGATTGGACTAGCGACACAGCGGAATGGCGGAATAGCGGACCGGGTTAAAGAATGTAGAGATTTAAATCAATTGAATGAGAGTAAAGAGATACAATTCAGTCATAACGAGTGTACAAAATAGAGAAGAAGAAGAGAAGCCTTGCAGAAAAGAAAAGGGGGGTGTGGGGGGGAAACTCGACTAAATTAGCGTCTCAATATCCGGAGAGGCTAGACAATGCGTATGTGTTTCATCTATACACCTTGCTTTCCTAGCTAAATATGTATGGATTTGTGTATAATTGACAGCCCAGAGTGGATATAATGGAGGACAGTACGGAGTACCAATATAATACTTACTCTTTATCTAACCATCCCCTTCGATGTATTTTGTAAAATGATTCTTTTTATAAACACCACGCGACATTCTCGATGTTCGATTCGCACAGACCTCTTGACCCGCTATATTAATCACGCATTTATACTAGCTACTAATACGGAGTAGTATTGTACCTTGCGTTTGACAAGTGGATATTGGCGTTTGTTATCTCGTTAAATTGTTCTTGACTGGGGAGTTCCTAATCTCGACGGGGCACAACGTGGCTAATTTAAAGGTCTGTGCTGTAAACGGGCATAATTGTGGGAATAGAGCCCTATTTGGAGACTAATGGTTTTACTATTGGATTATCAACCCAAACTATTCCAATAGACAAAACTATAATGTAGAAGAAACGGTGGCATTGATTAGGCCAATTTCCCGATAATTGCAGTTTCGGCAAACAACGTTCATGCAAGCATTTTGAAGTCGCACGCGCGGCACGCAGCCCGCGGGCATCGGGTCTAGTTATCTTTAGTATACTCCGTACTCCGTACGGAGTACGGAGTATATCTGTCAGAGATGGAAAATGCTACCTCGGTGCCCCACGGTTCCTGATGTTTGCGGGATGCACACGCTGAACCTTGTGGAAAAACCTGTATTAATTGGTGCCACGGTTTACAATCCTGTACTCCGCTTCGGTCGCTAATCCTAAGGGATTGTTCAAGAGCATTTAATCGCTAGGCCAAAAGATCATAAGGACAAACAGAACATCTCTTTATCTCTGTAGCATTATATATAAGCCCTAACGCATGTTCAGGGCAACACGGTCACCTGATCGTGGGGCTGAGAATGCCAGCACGCTTTCCTAGGGCGGGGGCCTTCACTGACAGCATGATTATATCCATAGCCTATTGACTATGTCTTCAACATCAAATACATTTGGTGATGACAACATGGGGACTCAAGTGGGGGTCAATCATGGACAGATCTACTTCTCGTCCGGTACGTGTCATGAAGCCCTTTTTGAAGCCGGGTCAAATTGATTGACAGTCACTCTTTCGGTTCAGCCCCACAGGAAACTCCACAGCAGAGCATAGACAACGGTTCGCATCGCCCCGTATCAGTCAAAGGGACTATCACTAATTATGTAGAGGTGCGTAGGTCACTGGCATTCCCGGAGATGCTAGATCGGAGAGACAATATCGAGCCATGCCATCCCGATACCTGCCAATGGATTTTGGAGTTGGAAAAATACAAGTCCTGGAGAAGCCAGTCCCGCGGTCTTTTATGGATCAAGGGCAAGCCAGGCGCGGGAAAATCGACATTGATGCTATTCCTACACGATGAACTCAAGAGACATGTCGATCGAGGTATTCGGCTCGAGTTTTTCTTTACTGCTCGGGGCACAGAGATGCAACGCATACCGCTCGGGATGCTCAGATCGTTACTAAGCCAAATTTTTGACCGCGATGCGGCGATACGCCCTCAGCTGCGCGATGCCTATGAACAACGATGTAGGCAGTTTGGGTATGGTGAACGTAAATGGCAATGGCCACGAACGGTGCTAGAAGAGCTACTAGCAGGTGCTATCTTGGCATCCGCTAGTCGGCAGCAAATAATGATTTTTGTTGATGCTCTGGATGAGGCTGGGGCGGAGTCAGCTCAATACCTGGCAGCATATTTTCATCGACTTATCAATCGTGCTGAAAAAATGGGCGTGGCCGTTCAAATTTGTATTTCATGTCGACACTACCCTATCCTGGAAAGCGACGCTACGAGGGAGATATGGGTCGAACACCATAACAATGATGATATCGCCAGATATATTAAGGATATCATTGTTGATACGGATGTCGGAGACGGTCCGGGTCAGGAGACGAGGGAAGCACTGGCAGAGCAATTGATCCGACAATGCAAAGGAGTGTTCCAGTGGGCCCATCTTATAATGCCTCTTATCAGGCAGAAGATTCTCGAAGGGGAATTGTTTGGTGACATCCGTTGCTGGCTACACGAGGTCCCAGTTGGCCTAGAAGACGTGTATACGTATATTCTGAACAATGTGATCGAAGGCAGGAATCGAGCACAGTCGTTCTTGTTATTTCAGTGGGTGTCCCTTGCCGAGCGGCCCCTGACTGTGACAGAAATGCGGTATGCCTTGGCAGCCCAGAATGCTGAATTAATATTTCCCCAAAAAACATGGGAGAAGATCGACGGGTTTGTTGAGAGCAACGGACGTATGAAGCGAAGGATCCAGGTCCTTTCTGGTGGACTTGTTGAAGTAATCTCAACCGTGGATTATGACAAGATTGTGCACGAGACTGTGCAGGTAGTACACCAGTCAGTCAATGATTTCTTGCGCGCAAAAGGGCTAGGGCTTTTGTGTCACAATATCGGCACTAGCACGTTTCCTATGGATGACGAGAAGATTTTATCTCAATGCCAGGCAACTCTCTACCGAACATGTCTGGTTTATCTAGCCACAGTACACATACCTCGAAAAATATCAGATAAACAGGACTTCATTCAGAACCACCCGTTGCTTGATTACGCTACAAACAACCTTTTCATTCATGCGGAAAAGGCTGCTAATTCTCGAGTGGACGTGCTACAGAATGAACAAGACATACTGCAGCGAGTGATTGGTCCATGGGTCCAAATTTACCAAATCCAAGATCACTCTGTCAAGAGATGCCCCCAGGAAGGTACGACGATCTTACATATGGCTGCAGCTGCCAACCTACTTGATATTATAGAATCTGTGGTGTCAAACGGTGGGGATATCATGACGAAAGACATTATTGGAAACACAGCTTTCCATCTAGCAGCGCGCCAAGGTCATATCACAGCGGGCAAAATACTCCTAGGGAAGGGGGCAGACCACAACGCAAAGAACCAAAGTGGGATAACACCATTAACTGAGGCGGCCAGTTGTGGGCATGTGAGATTTGTGGAATGGCTCCTACATGAGGGCGCAAATGTTGAGACAAGTGCGAGAAGTGAAGGTGCATTGCAAGCGGCTTCGTTGGAAGGTCATGAACGCGTGGTGGCAATATTGCTTGGAGCAGGAGCCAATGTCAACGCCCAGGCTGGTGAATATGGAAATGCCCTACAGGCCGCAGCCTCAAGAGGAAGCACCGAGATAGTACAACTACTTCTGGAAGCCCACGCCGATATCAACGCCCAGGGTGGTAAATATGGCAATGCCCTACAGGCCGCCGCCTTGGGAGGAAGCACTGAGATAGTACAACTACTTCTGGAAGCCCACGCCGATGTCAACGCCCAGGGTGGGATATATGGAAATGCCCTACAGGCTGCTGCATACCACGGAAGCACCGATATAGTACAACTGCTTCTGGAAGCCCACGCCGATGTCAACGCCCAGGGTGGGATATATGGAAATGCCCTACAGGCTGCTGCATACCACGGAAGCACCGATATAGTACAACTGCTTCTGGAAGCCCACGCCGATGTCAACGCCCAGGGTGGGATATATGGAAATGCCCTACAGGCTGCTGCATATCACGGAAGCACCGATATAGTACAACTACTTCTGGAAGCTCACGCCGATGTCAACGCCCAGGGTGGGATATATGGAAATGCCCTACAGGCTGCTGCATATCACGGGAGCACCGATATTTTGCAGATGCTTCTAGAAGCCCACGCCGATATCAACGCCCAGGGTGGTAAATATGGCAATGCCCTACAGGCTGCTACATATCACGGAAGGACCGGCACAGTACAGATACTTCTAGAAGCCCACGCCGATGTCAACGCCCAGGGTGGGGAATATGGAAATGCCCTACAGGCCGCCGCCTTAGGAGGAAGCACCGAAATAGTACAACTGCTTCTGGAAGCCCACGCCGATATCAACGCCCAGGGTGGTAAATATGGAAATGCCCTACAGGCTGCTGCATATCACGGAAGCACCGATATAGTGCAGATGCTTCTAGAAGCCCACGCCGATATCAACGCCCAGGGTGGTAAATATGGCAATGCCCTACAGGCCGCCGCCTTGGGAGGAAGCACCGAGATAGTACAACTACTTCTGGAAGCCCACGCCGATATCAACGCCCAGGGTGGTAAATATGGAAATGCCCTACAGGCCGCCGCCTTGGGAGGAAGCACTGAGATAGTACAACTACTTCTGGAAGCTCACGCCGATATCAACGCCCAGGGTGGTAAATATGGAAATGCCCTACAGGCCGCCGCCTTGGGAGGAAGCACCGAGATAGTACAACTACTTCTGGAAGCCCACGCCGATATCAACGCCCAGGGTGGTGAATTTGGATCACCTCTATTGGCGGCTGTTCAACAGGGCCATACTGATCGAGCTCAGTTACTTCTTCAGGCTGGCGCAGATGTGTTACTTGCAAATGAATATGACCAGACTCCTCTTCATATTGCGGCCTACAACAATCAACTCGACTTTCTGAATCGATTCCCGCTACTTGCCTCGGGTATCAACAGCCGGGATAAGTTCTTACGAACCCCGCTTCATGTGGCTAATTATCTCGGTCACATCGAATTCGCCGAAAAGCTCCTCCATCTTGGTGCTAATCCTTCTCTTGCAGATGGTTATGGTAGAAATATTCTGGACTGGGTAGCTGGAAACGAAAGCCTGATGCATCAAATCCAAACCTACTGTCCTCTGATTGTCATGACCCCTAAGGAAACTCAAGAATCGACTATTCGTCAATCAATCCTTCAAATCTCAGATACACTTCTTCGTTCTAAGTTGAACTTCCCATGGCCTCTTTTGCGACAGATGGGCCGCTATTTCTTGTTTCTCGGTGACGTGGAAAATGCCCGTTATACTTTCCAGCTACATTTGTCTCAGCGGAATTTTGCTCACACCCGCATATATGACGTTTCTTGTGGCCTTTGTACAACGGTTATCACCAGGTCTTATTTTGTGTGCAGGGTCTGTGCCTACTTGGATATATGCTCGTTTTGCGTAAAAAGGTACCCTTGCCACAGTCGATTGCACCCAAATCAAGAGCACGAGACCTTTGAAGTGTTAGATGTGCCGGATAAAGAGTCTGGGCTCACTAGCCCAGCACCAGAACAATTGAGCCATTTTTTGAGCAACATTGTACACGAGCTTTCTGTGCCAGAGAGCTATATAACTGAGGTCGAGCCATCAAACGATTCTGTCTTACCCGGCCCCCAAAAAGACAGCTCTAGCCTCAAGAGCGATTTTAGGTCGAACAACACTATCCCGTGCTCTTGTTTTCGGGCTTTTAGCGGTTTTGTTGAGATATTGGTTCTTTTAGGTCGGCTTGAATATATACCCAAAATCCATGTCTCTGGTTTGTTATAATTGAGGAACGACTGCTTCCGTCTACAAATACCTTACACTAAGTTAGATATTCTCTCTTATTATAGGCCTGATAATAACCACGGCTGCACAAGATACTTGGAATCTTTTGGCGTCTTTGATATAGATGATTAGTTAGGTGAGTGATAGTTCCACAGATACAACGTTAGTAGGAACAAATTCCTAGTTCTAGGCGAGATTATAGATGGTACCTGTAAAGACTACTCTTAGCTAAATATGGATACATGTGGCACAGAAAATAGCTATCCGATTATATAGATGTAGGTAAACGATGATAGGGTTATTGAATTCCTCTATCAAAAAAAGGAGAATAAAGGGCTTGGTGTACCTGCAAGCTTGGTGTACCTGCAAGCTTGGTGTACCTACAAGCTTGGTGTACCTGAAAATATACCGCTAGGATTACGAAGAGGCACGGGCATTACATCTAAACTTGGATAAATTTGTCTATTGGTATGAAATGGCGACTCATAACTCCACAGACGTTCCGAGTCTGGGGGAATTAGGTACAAGATGTGCGGCCTCGCTTAACCACATTCTGTTGACACCAACTATACTCCCTCGTGATGCTTACCACGAGCCGACTGATGGTGTCGTGTAACTTCCCGCGGCTGAGCTTCCCTCGCACGTCGTCGGCACCTCATTGGCACTCGAAGCGCCCCAGCTAGCGGGCACTGTTCCAGCTTCACGCCGAGCAGCAGATAGGAACGCCGCGTAGGACCAGGTCAAGTCACTAGCAGAGGCCGGGGTGCCGTCGGCCCGAGTGAATTGTTCGGCTAGAGCTCCATCGCTGGGCGTGTACTCGTTAACGACAGCCACAAATCCATCGGCATACGTTTTGACGGCTTTAGTAATGGAAGTGTAAGTGTCTGAAGAGCTGGAATAGTTTCCGGTAGCGGCAGATGAAACCAGATCCTGGAAGAAAGGAAGACTAATATCGGTGATAGCGAGCGATCCTTGTTGGTCCCACTGGTAAAGGGCATCATACAACTGCTCAGCTGCTGCAAGTGTTGTCAAATACCTGGAAAGGATTAGTAAAGTTCGAAGCTAATCAAATGAATATGAATGGTTCGCATACCATGGGTTGCCGCCCTGGTAAGTGTCTTCGGCATAACGTCCAACAGAAACGGCACTTCCAGCCTCCTTGCCGCTGTTCACATCATAGATCGAACGGAACGAGTCAACATATAGCTTGTGGTTCGACAAGGCACGAGCAGAGCAAGGCTGGAAGGTCACATCATCGCAGGTACCCTTGGGGTCGAAGTTCCCGATCGAAGCAAGCACGGAGTTTGCATCGAGACCAGTTCGGCCATTGTCGACCAGGTTGGAAACCACAGCCTCGCCATTCCAGAAGGACTGCAGGAAGCATAGGACCTGAGGAGCCTGGGAATCACATCCATCGCAGGTCTCTCCCAGCGCCTTGGCAAATGCGCTGCCTTCCACCAACGCGCGGTGTTGTGCAGCAATAGTGAAAAATGAGGAGCCCTCGACCTCCTCCCACAGATCAAATCCGGTTTGGTTCCAGTATTGCGCAACATAGCTGAGATCATTTTGCACGATGGGCCAAATGTTCGACTTGACTACAGACTCCTTTTCAGTCGAAATCAAATAGTTACCATAGGCGATCAGAGCTGTCGCCCGCAGAGCGGGTCCATCACGCTGAGGACGACCCCAAGCATCTGTGAAGGCAGTCAAGTCCACATTATACTTGGGCTCTGCAAGCCCTGATCCATCAGACAAGTCTCCGGATGGGTTAGACACGGCCTGCAGCTTTGCTTGAGCAGAGATGTAATCCTGGATGGTAGATTCCAATGAGGTCTCTCCGGCAATGAACTCATCAATCAGGACCTTAAATGTCAAGGCTGCATCACGAGTCCAGGTATAAAAGTCTAGCAGCTATTAGTTACTTTCATTCAAATTTGAGGAGGGATGGATTCACAATCGGGATCCGTTTTGGATGGGGATGCTACCACAATGCCGGCAGATGCTCCAGAAACAGCAGACCCATTAGCGCCAATGTTGTTTAGGATGGATTGAAGAGCACCAGCAGTATCCAAGTCGCGTGCATGGAGATCGCGGGCAGGCAAAGCAGATGATAGCACACCTGGTGCCAATAGTGCAGTCAAAATATTTAGTGTTAACATGATGTCGGGATGATTTTGTGATCTTCTGAATATTGTGGGGATCCCAGCCTCTTTATATATTCTCCAACCACCACTATGAATCGGAAATTGGGCCTCCCAACAAGCAAACGCCTCGGAAATTGAGTTTCACGTTGATCCCTCATGCAAAAGTCCAATAATACTGAATACAGGAATGAGTTGTTCAATAGAAAGTCGTTTCAAATGCACCAGAGTTACATCGAGTCCATATTGATTGTGATCGGCATGGCAGATCGGCGTTGACAGATCCCGAACCGAGTAAGGCCAATCCGATAAATCACCGGCTGTGCTCCGCGTTTTCTTCATCATCAGATGCCTCAGGTCATAGCTAATGATATTTCGATGCTTTTCCGACAACCTCCCGAGAAGAGACTATCCCATCACCCCGTACGAATAGGAACAGGAAACAATGTCGTAGATCTACCCTCCAAGCTTGGAAGGTTAGGCGGGTGCCAGTCATCGTTAACCTTGGAACGTACCTACCTTATTCGCCATTGGGTCTATAGGTCACACCTGCAGCTCAGAATAGCTTCTTCTAACCTTCCAAGGAGCTACCTAGGTATGTACAGAGTACACAGGATGTTCATTGAGCATTATTAGCCAGCACTTTCCGTCCAAGATCACACGCACCTCCTAATACCTACGTACTTGCCCAAGTGATAACCTCTGCCACTTCTGGCTTTCCCTTTCCACTTTAGTGCTCAGGCCTTGCCGCCTTTTGCTCATTGAGTAGAACTACCTACAGGTAAGCACCCGTGGACGCTCCTGAGTATTACATAAACACCAGGCTTCCAAGGTTGCACTGAGCATCAGCTGATCGTTACATAAGCTGGATGACTCGGGCGGGCGCTCACTGGGCTTCCCAGGTTGACCTGAGCGCTCTAACTAGTTCACTGAGCAGTGGGGGACCTGTTTATTACATAAGCTCAAGAATGGCTCACCTTAATAAAATGCACTACACTTAGAGTGCTCCAAAAAGCGCAAACTAAACAAACCCCAAATGGTTTGGTTTTTGAAGTTCAAACCGCAATGGTTCTTGGGGCCCCTTTGTAGGGCTATTTTTAAAAATTTTATATGTTGAATTTAATACCATTAATTTAAAATATTTTTATTTTAATAGTAAAATATTTACTCAACCTTATGCAAATTTATGCAAGAATGGTTTTAATTACGTCCCGAGAGGAAGCTCTTTAATAGTTAGTTTAGAGGGGTCGCTCCCGGGGAGGAACCGCTTATAGTAGAGCAGACGTTTATAGAAGAGTCCTTCGATCAGGTACAACATAGGCCCAGATTTCGATAAGGAGGAAGCCCACAAAGTGAAAGCGCTTATTCGATGGATTTTACAGTATGACCCCGCGAAGAGACCTTCGCCTGCGGAAATCTTATCTCATCCAAGGTATCTATAATCTAGTATATTGCGTGACTGTTGCCATCCTCCAGACATTGGTACTGTACTCTACAAGAGTGGCCTTGTTATGTCCTTTTGGGTCTTTGTTGATGTGTTAGATGTCAAGGCGGCAAAAAGGCAAAAAGGTAATGCGTAGAAACTGTGTGGACTTCGCTATAGTTATTAACCCAGAGACTTGGCCTCGTAAGGCATGAAACGAACGCTTGGCGGGGGTATTAGGCATTGACATATTCCCATTAAGAAGCCAGATATAACCCCTTAATTGTAACTATGCCGTGGGTTCTGATAACAGCTTCGCCATTTGACACGTTGAATTTATTATTCGATACTCGTTACTATGAGACATACTCTGTTTTTGCAATCTGATACTGTCTGTTAAGATGAGCATTCCGACACTATTGTCCGGACCCAAACTGGTTGACTCACAAGAATCCCCTGTCTTAGACCAGACCTCGGGAAAATTACCAGACTAATATATTTTACTTCTATTCTCCCGTATGGATATCCGCTGGATTGAGCGCTTAATTTAAGTCTGTCTGCCTCTTGTGCTCTGACTTTTACCATCAAATGGTTACTACATCGCCAGCACCCATAAAAGCATGTCTGCACACATATCTGAATTACCATCATGCACCCCAGAAAATTATGTGCGATATCGGTTCGAAATCGCACCGCAACCGAAGATATCCCGAGGATATCCCGCTAACCTTCGAACCAAATTCTGCAAAACATATGCCCCACCGAGAGTATCCCCCTGATCGGAGTCTTGAGATTAACACTCTCATTGTCGCCGAATGCCCTGCTCTCCTAGGCTTTATATGTTTGAAGTCGGGGAGTATTGGCGAAATTTGATAGATCACGTTCGTCTTATCTTTTTATCTATATAGGTACCTCTAGGGCTGAATTTTAGCGGAGATCTACAACAGTCTTCTAGACTTTTCAAGTTTACCTAATCCTATTATAGTAATCTGGAGTTGATTTAGTTAACTACTCCGTATGGAGCAAGCAGTCACGATGTCCTGGTGGGCCCTGTGGAGATCCCCGATGAGATATTTCCCATGAAACGTCGATACGATAAAAGATTAATACTGCGGGTTGGCCTCGGGATGATTTGGAACTTATGTTTATCTTGGATATGCCTGTTTCTTGCATCCTTTCTGTTCCCCTGTGTTGGGAAATTCCATGCTATTGACTGAGATGGTTCTTTCATCTCGAGCCCTGTATGACCGCGGTCCAAGGCTCCTAAGAGACATTTGGGCGCTCACCGGTATCGCAATTTTCACTGTCGGTCTGAGGGTGGCTGCAAAGCTAAGGATCAGAAAATTTGGGTGGGATGATATTCTCATGGTTTCGGCCTTGGTTAGCCTGTCCATGTCGTGTATTAGTTTGAAGATCAAAAACTGACCCTACTGCCTGACACGTAGTGCCTGACTATAGTCGGATCAGCTCTGATTACTGTGGGCGTCAAATACGGGTTCGGCCGCCATGTTTGGGACCTCGACACGGATACGGTGGTGCCCAAAGTGATCATGTTCGATTATTTGACACAAACATTCGGCATTGCTGGTGGCACTTTTGGTCGCATTTCCTTCATTGTCTTTGTCATTGAGCTACTAGGCACTAGAAGGTCACACAGAGTGATACTGTGGATCATACTTGTGTTACAAATATTGACCAACGTGCTATTAATCATCATTCTATTTGTCCAATGTCCAGGACACGGTTCCGCTATCTGGACGAAGGATGGGGGAAAATGCTGGGATGTCCGCGTCCAAGCATACTACGGGTACTACCAAGGTGGTACGAGCTTCTATTCCTTGCCCTAATCCATATACACCAAGACTAATCAACAACCTACACAGCATTTAATTCGGCCACAGATCTTTATCTGGCAGTTTTTTCAACATACATCTTCTGGAATTTGAATTTGAAGTTAAGAGTCAAGTTGGGCTTAGTCACTCTCCTCGGATTGGGCATTTTGTGAGCCACTGATTTTCAGACCCTATTTTAAGAGATGCCCGGCTAACAGAATTATCTTGAATTATTTAGTGCAATGGCAGCATCCGTTATAAAAGCAGTACAAACCCGAGTCCTCGCACACGCACACAATGATCCGACTGTTGCAACTGTGAACTACGATCGCTGGATATACATTGAAGCCTACGTAGTGATCATCACGGCGTCGATACCTTGCATCAGATCCCTGATTCGAACCGTTCGAGGAGGGACAACCGGAACCGGACGAAGCACATACGAGTTGAGTTCGCCATATGCTGGAAGCTCTGTGCCCACACCCAGAAACCGGAGGTCAGCACCAAAGTCGATGATACGCATACCCGATAATTCCAGCGTGGATGATATCTTGGAGAGGAATAATAATAATGAGGTTGAGGGAGTACACGAAGGAGCGGAATCGAAAAAGTCGGTACATGTCTATGTATAACATTATATGATATGATACAATAGAGTATATATATAAGAAGTCAAAATGCAATACGAACTACACCTACAAAGTTTGGCCTGAAAGCACATACCATATAGAGTCTAAGCGCAGGATACAGTCATCGAAATCGGGCAGTAAGTCCTCGGGGATACGAGATTGACATCACCGCCATCAAGCCAACCTCCCTTCCTGGCCCAAAACAAAAGCCGAAGCTTGGCTCGAGGAGTGAATCCAAGGCATAATGTAGCCATTTTCGACATATCCAGAGAAGCCAGGAAACGTTCGACTACATCATCGTTAGTAGTGGGTCTCACTTACCCTGACCAAGAGCCACCAAATCGACTGACTAACCACAACCTTATTAACTAGTTAAATAGTTACAGAGTAGAGAAATTCTATATAAATTATATAGGTCACTTTTTTAATACGCTTGTACTGTTTACAGTCCCACGGGAGTAAATGTGGGAGTTGGCATGGCCTATCAGTGAGCATCCACGGATTCAATCATACCTAGGTAATCACTAAGCGCCCAGTGAGCGCTCATAGAACCTCACGGCTTTCTAACGTGATTATTTGAGCAGCTGAGTTTGAGCCCGGACTGAAATTTACCCAGTAAGCCTGATTCTGAGCGCCCTTGTAAAAGCGGCGGCAGCGGAAAGCCCTACCCAGCAGAGAAATATGTTACGTACAGTGACCTAGGTACGCCCACTTGCAGACATCATTTCAATCTATTCACCCAACCCAGTCGTCCACTCTTAGCCCCTAAACATTAAACTGCCTCATAGCCTCATAGGGTCCGGAGCCAAGCGGTCCCGATCCCGGGTCGGGTCCCCGCTTGAAAATCAGTCAATCCGGGGTGATTGGAAATAAGCCGCGTCAATCCATGCTCTTAAAGACCGTTCTGAGCAACAAAACGAAAAGGGAAAGATATGAAGTGGTAGAGGAAAGCATAGGGCTATGCGGACCCCAATCTATAAGCATGCCCCGCACTTTGCTTGATTGGGTTGATCGCTTCGTATCTGGCATTGTACCTAACCCCACCTAGGTTCTGGCACAGTCTTTACAGTATTTCCAATCTGAAGCTATACCAAGGAGACTATGGCCGAGCTAGTGGGCCTTGTGGCCAGTATTGCCGGCCTTGTCCAGATTGCGGGACAAATTACCAAACTCAGCTACAGCTACGTCTCAGACATCAAATCGGCCCCCAAAACACAAAAGCTGTATTTGCAAGAGGTTTCGGCGCTTACAGATGTGCTTTTCCGGGTAGAAAAGGCTATTCAAGAGGCAGAGTCTACCGATTTAGAACTGCCCTCGTGGCCCTCTTCGCTCAATGAAGAAGCTCTTCAAGATTGCCGCCGCCACTTGTTGGCTCTGCACCTCGATCTAGACAAGCGGCTACGCCGCCTCGTATGGCCGTTTCAGGAAAAAGAGGTTAAAAAATATATTGATCTTTTGCATCGTTACCGATCTCTTTTTGCCGATTTTCTCTCAACGAATATCATGTTCGAAGACCCATCTCCCTCCAAGGCAATCACTTGGAAAGTAAAACTAATTTGCAACAGGTCCGTTGCCACTGCTACATACAAAAAGGTTGCAGGAATCGACCAAGGTAAGGGGGTCCTTTGAATGGCATGAGTCCTCACGATAGCCCTAATCTCTAATCGGAACTTTAGAGCAAATGAGGCAGTATCTTTACTCTCTCTTCCCAGCGTCAGATAACCTTTTACGATCCAGACCAAATGCTTGCCCTGGAACTGGGAAATGGTTTTTGAACTCCCAAGACGTGGAGAACTGGCGTACCGGAGACCCATCACTGCTCTGGTGCTACGGAGCCCGTACGAAGCAATTCTTTCCGAAGATTTCCTATAACGTATCACGATCTTGCTAACCGGTAATAGCTGGTGTCGGTAAATCGCTACTTTCGTACGTGCTACTCAGAGTCTCCTCTTCATGGCTTTCCAATACCTAACACAGCTAGATCAATCACAATTGGGGACCTGTGGGATCAGAGATCAGAGACTACAAGCTCCGTGGTATATGTATTTTGTCAGTTCTCATCACGGGAGCAACAAACCCTCACAACAATCCTGCAATGCATGATCCGGCAAGTGATCGAGCAAGCAGATGAAAAAGTGCTATTTGCATTGAAACATCTATTCGTGGACCCAATGAAGCAGCGTGAGCCTGTCGGACTTGCTGAATCATTTGCAACGGCATGTGAGCTGAAGTCGACATACCTTCTAGTTGACGGTCCAGATGAGGTAACTGGAGCAGATGCTTTGCTGCCTTACCTGTCTTCTTTTGTGGAAAATGGGTGCAAAGTAATGGTCACCAGTCGAGACCTTGGCCATATCAGGAAGGCTATGGATTCTGCAACCAAGATGGAGATATGTTCGCAAGTTGAAGATTTAGAGATCTACATCGACTCCCGCTTTCAAAAGAGCGAGCTTCCCCGAGGGGCACAAAAATTGATCGGAAAAATCACAGAAAAGTCGGGGAATATGTATGAACTACCGCTGGTAAATGAGTGTAGTGCTGACCAGATACTAGGTTTTTACATACCAAGCTTATTTTGGATGAGATCTTGGATCTCACCACTGTTCGCCATATGCAAAAGGCCCTCGAAAAACAGTCAACGGGGTTGAATCAAGTTTACCAATCGACACTGCAGCGAATCGACATGCAACCAATGGCAAGGAGGGAACTTGCTCGGCGATTTATCGGATGGGTTGTCTTTGCGAAGAGACGTCTAAAAATCGATGAAGTAATCCATGCTTTCGCCGTCGAAGAGGATGAGGATTACATTGAAGAAGATAACTTCGTCAGCCCTGATCTTCTACTTCGATCGTGTGTTGGCCTAGTGGTATTACATGATGACAAGACTGTCGCAATGGTCCATGCGACCGCTTATGACTTTTTCGGATCCACGGTGTTGCTACCTTGTGATATGGAGACCGACATCGCAGAGACATGTCTACGCTACATGTGTCTCAGTCCGTTCAAGGAAGGCCCATGCAGAAGTCGCGTGGAGATGTCCCGCCGCTCTGATGAAATGTTGTTTCTAAATTATGCCTCACGGCATTGGGCAAGACATATCAAAGAGGTAGAAAGCGCGGAGGAAGATCTAAACTCCCTTATTCAGTTTTTTATTTGCAACGAGAAGCTCCTGAATGCCGCCGTTCAAGCATTACATTTCCGCAATGAGCTCGAAACTGATCTCCTGGACTCTCTTTTTGATTCAATCCCTCAGCATCAAACAGCATTGCATGTTGCGGCTTATTGGAATCTTACGGGAACCCTGAAGACTCTGATCGAGTCGGGACTCAGTACATCTTTAACAGATACTCATGGCTGGACACCTCTCCATTACTCGTGTGCAAACGGTCATTTTTCCTCTGCTGAAATTCTCGTGAGAAATGGGGCAGATGTCGATGCCACAGACAATCAAGAGTGGACCCCTCTTTTCTGGGCGTCATTCACTGGAAGCTTGGGTATTGTTCGTCTTCTATTATCCAAGCACGCAAAGTATACAAATCGCAGCAAATATGGTTGGACGGCATTACACTGGGCTATATCCCGCGGTGAAGCCGACGTGGTTTTGGAGCTTGTGCAGCATCATCAAGCGCAGTTGTCGCGTGTTACTAAGGCTGACATTCAAACCCTCAGCGTCGAGGACGTGAGACGATTGAACACACCAAAAAACACTTCGCCAATGCAAATAGCAGCTGAGGGCAAGAATGCGACAATATTCGACCTGCTTGTGGCTCACTTTGATGCGCCTGATTCTACCGGGGAGGAAGACTTCCAGAGGATCTGGTCAAGAGAGAGCTTCAGAGTCCCTATTGCCCAGAGCACGTGGAGAAACACATTCAAGTCGCAAATAAATGGAGAAGTAAGCCGCTCGAGTGAGTTGATTGCCGGGGAGACATACATGGAGGAAGACCCCAGCAATTACTTCAGGTATGAATTCACGAAGGAAGATCCATCAGCATGGAAGTCAAATCTATTTGTCTCCGCTATCCAGGATGGAGATTTCCAGGCAGCAAAACTGTTCCTCGAACTTGGTGCAGATGTGAATTACATTTCTGAAAAAGGACCTCTGTTGAACCTTGCCGCACATCAGAGAGACCCACGTTTTATACAGCTTCTGCTGGAAAAGAGTTCCAAAGAACTACAGGCTGAGATGAACGAGTCCATACTTCGTACTGCTATCTGCCTCGGGAACTTGGAAACAGCAAAAGTCATCATCGACAGTGGCGGTGCTCATATGGATCAGAATGGAACAAATTTGCATGCAGCCGCGACACAACAAGACCCACAATTTGCATTACTTTTGTTATCTAAAGGGGCACGACCTGAACTCCTAGATGGGTATGACAAGACTGCCTTGAGTGTCGCAGTAATGAACGGATTCGTCGAGACAGCACAGGCTCTGATTGAGGGTGGTGCAGATGTCAATCAGTTGTCGCACGTGTGGATTTGTAATAAAAGTGGATGGCAAACCTGCCTGATGATGGCCGTTTCGCTTGCCAGCGCAGATAATAAAGAACAGGAAATGAGGGACTCGGGAACTGAAATGACTCGCATGCTACTTTCAAAAGGGGCTAGTGTCGAGTTCCAAGATGAAGAAGGCAAGACTGCTTTGCACGAGGCAGCAACTTGCCGCAGTGTGAAATGCATCGAACTTTTGACGGCAGCTGGGTGTACGGTTGAGACTGTCGATAAGAGTGGGCGGACTCCGATCCAAACCATGATGGAAGCCGTGAAGCCGAGCTGGGAGGTGGAAGAGGTTGAAGAAGTTCTTCGCCTGTTGTTCCGAGGGTTATCAGAAAACGCCGTCATCTCATTATTGGCTCGGAAAACGTGTCAATCCGTTATTTCCAACTCTTCGGACGATGAAGATATTGAATTAGATACGCCACTGACTAGTGCATTGAGGCAGAAAGCTTGGAGCATAGCCCATCTCTTGATGACCTTTGGAGCGGAGCCCCCCACCAGCACTTCCTTTCAGTCTATTGTGACAGACGCGACCAGGGACCTTGAATTTCAAATTATCAAGAGTCTTATTGGGAGTGGTGTGTCACCAGGCGATGACGCTGCTTTGGAATTGGTCAAGAGCATTGATGACCGACTTTTCGCGGAGCCTTCCACCCTACTTTCTTCATCTAAGAATGCACTGTCTCACTCTAATTTAAGTCGTGTATTTGCACAGGCACGTGCGAAGAATCACCTTCAAAGACCAAAACTTCCACATGACCAGATGGCGCAGGCTTCCCAGCCGATTCTGGCCGGTTTGGTGTCGGCGGGCGCAGACGTGAACGTTTGCGACTCAGAAATGAGCACAACTCCTCTTCTTCTCGCAGCTAAAAAGATTCCAATTGCTCAGATCACGGCCACTCTATTGGAGCTTGGTGCCGATTGTTTCCATTCTTTTGAGAATGAATTCGATTCAATTTTGACCGCAGCGGCAGTCAACAACACAGAATCCCTGCGTTGTCTGTTAGCGCATGCCTCAAACTCGCCCAAGCCGGGGCATTGGGCTCAACATTTGGAGTACCGTGGCCAGCTGAGCAACACAGAGATGTTTGACTGCATATGCCTGGCGTTGAAACTTGCCGGCAAGCTCAACTACAAGAACTCAAATGGTGAAACATTGTTGCATTTTGCTGCAAACACAGGGAACGTCGATTTGGTCATCAGTTTGATCTCTCATGGTGCTTATGCAGATATACCAGATGAAGATGGCTTTTTCCCCATCCATTGTGCCGCATTCGCCTCGGGCCATAGTGATATAGTACAGCGCCTTCTTCCGGTGAATATGGTGCAACTTACTTCCGATCGCCATCCCTATCGCTCCGTTGAAACAAGAGCCTCCCTCCGAGACGACGAAATTTGTCAACAAATATCAAACATAACAAACGAAAAAGGAAACACAATGCTTTTGGAAGCCCTGGAAAAAGGTGATGAGACTATGTTTCTACATCTTCTCAAGCTCGAGAGTGATTTCAACTCCTGTGTCACACTTTCTGGGAAGCATCCTTCACTTCTCTATCAGGCATGTGCTCATGGAATGACAGACGCAGTATCTTTCTTGCTGGAATCCAACGTTGATATTGAAAGAGCTGATAATTGTGGATGGCGTCCACTTCATGGCGCATCGCTCTGGTCTCACATGGAAATAATCGAGATACTGATTGCTGCTGGAGCTGATGTCCGCGCTTCCACAACACATTTTGACAAGGATTCTTTAACGGACTCCGACCTTGACCAGAAATCATGGAATGGCCATGCTCTCCATTTGGCTGTACTTGAGGGTAACATCGACATTGTTGAGCTTCTTTTGAAGCATGGTGCAGACGTGAGTGCAAACGCCGGATTCTTCAAAAGGTACGACGGAAGAATATGTGGACCGACTGCTCTGCACATAGCATTGGATCCACAGGCATGGTATACTGGAGACGATGACGACTGGGAAGACTGTGAAGACCATCATGAAGAGTACTTGAAGATTGCTAGAATGCTGATTAAAAATGGTGCTCCTGTCAAAGGTGTCTTGGATCAACTACGGGTGAAGGATATTCCAAGTTTCGAGGGCTTTGAAGATGTTTGGGATAAGATTCGAGGGGGTTGAAAATGTCCAGGACAAGATTCGAAGGTACATTTATAAACCTAGACACTTCAACATATTCTAGTGCTTGATAAATCCCAAAGATGATGTCATCCGCAGCCTACTATCAAATGTATTCAACTCCCTCAACCCTTGATTCTAATCAATGCATGCGTTGCTCGTCAATATATACCTCAGGCGCTCCACTTCTTGCGTCAACAGCACCTGTTCCGTGTAAAAGCCAGGAACAACCATATAAGGACAATTTGTATAGTTTAAGCCTTCGTCCACTCTTTTTGGAATGTAAGCGGTCTAATAAAAGTACATGTAGTATTTATCTATATATTAGTGTTGAGATCACCTGATCCTGTTTGACAGGACTGGCAGCTACAAATAGCTTCCTCTTTCCCTTCTTCTTTTCCCCTACGCAGTGCAGTTAGCTTCAATATGGTCAAATTGTCTGCTCTAACCCCTAATATCTCAAGAATTAGTATTATTATAGTATATTGATACTCTTTATATTTACTCACTAGTAAGGCTCCGGATTATTGATCTTCCTTTTGCTCTGAACATTACAGTCCTCACCGCTACTGGCTTTGGTTTGTTCACTCAGCAAGGATCGAAGGCAGCTTCATCATTTCCATACAAACATTCTTACTCAAGACATACCTTATCCCTTTTCTCCACGCCACATAGTGATCAAAATGACTCTGTCTATAAATCCTTTCACCAGGCTCTGTGATGATTGTATTTCAGCCCACCAAGACCACACACGAGGCCATCTGCCAGCTGTATTAATGAGGGCAACGCACGAAGGAAATGCGAATGGTTCAATCCCACCGAATAACGGCCCTGATTTGAAGGGTGATATTTGGCCTCGATATCGGGGTCAGCGTGACATCACACGCTGGGAGGTCGAAAGTCATGGGGAAATGAAGTCGTCCTATCCAACGCAGTTCTCCTCATTTACGACTTGGGATGGATTGGCATATCGGATAGACAATTGGAAAAAGAAAAATGTGCGAAAAATTCGCGTTCATATAATTTTTACGCATCTACTGTCTCCGATCACAAAAGTCTATGCAGCCACTGCTCTAAGGAAGCATTTCCGACTCGAGCACCGACCTTACTTCGATAAGGAATTTCTTATATGTGGCCCAGTACTCTCTGGTGCTATTGTTTGTTCATTGTCTGGTGACGGTAAAGATGGGCTTTTCGAGATCCCATTATTTGGATTTCGATATATTTCCCCCCTATAACCTCCGATAAATGCGTTGTCATGTTGCCGCTTGGCTTTTTCCCCGGTGTCTCGGAGACAAACCTAAGATCGGTCACTCGTAGTCTGTCAGAGGAAGTCAGAAACGACATTCAACGCCGGGTGGTATTGGATGCATTTACGCGAGGGCATTTTTTTCACAGTTGCCAATCTAGAGGAGAATGGCGTGATGATCAATTGAAAGGGCAATCGCCAATTCCAGAACGGGCTAAATGGATTCTCATGGGTAATTACTTCCTATTTAATGCCAAAAGCAGTAACTAGAAACAGAGTAACCTCAAAATGGACCTCAAATTTCGAAAGAGAGTTTAGATAAAATCTGTGTAAATGTGGTGGAAATGTGATGAAAATGCTATACTAAAGTAATCAACTCGCACAGGATAAGCACACAAGATGAGACTCAACCCTCTAGTCTAGTAATTACTAGGAAGTGATGACAAGGGAGGCTGATCATATTTTGCCAGGTAAATAACCCGCATCTGGCTGGAGACACAAGGGTTCTGATCCAACTGTTCGTGATGCAAGAGAGGAATCGGTCATCGACAAGGCAGAGCGCAATGGCCTATTAGCAATTGTTGATCTTCTTCGCAGTTGAGGTTCGGTCACTTATGAGTCAGATTGGTATCATTTTACTAGGTTAAGACCATAAAGTTTGAGTTTTTTAGTCCCTGGGGGTCATTATTTACACACCCCGGTAGAACGATTACGAGACGGTGATAATACGAGAATAAGTGCAACGGTTACTTCAATTATCTCTCATTTCTCAAAATCCCTATCAATTCTCATCCTCTGCTTCACTATCCTTCTTGCTCTCGGTATGTCCTCAGTAAGGCCAATTCTAGACCATGGAAATGTACAGAGCCCCCCGGCGTGGGAGCAAGCGGGACCAATTTCAGACGATGGGGGATACTCATTGAATAGGGCTGTGGCATACAGGGGCATGCTATTGCAAGCCACCGCACTATCGAATGAAAAGCACCCACTGCCTGTAATTGTCCCCGCCAGCCCCTGCGTCGGGGGGTTCTGTATGTCACCGTGGCAGGTGATTGGCGTTCACTCAGACCAAGAAAGACCCAAGGCGGTCATGACATCTTCACATGGCTGGATCTGCTCATTGCAGTCGATGTACACTGCCCCAACGATGGCCTCCATGGTGGTGGCCATGACTTTGGGCATGATTTCAATTTGGGAAGGATTTTTGACAATGAATCTGTCAATGCCGAGGACAAACCCTTGCTTGGCGAGAGCGGCATTGCTGGCCTTCAGCTGGATCATTTCGGAGATTTCTCCTAATCAGAGCGTAAGCCTATGGAATAAAGTACAATGAAGTAGCCAGGGTGAAACGCTTACCTTTCGTCTTGTTCTTTTTGCGGCCAGAGATCACAATGATCAAGTCGAGAATGCTGTCGCCGATCAAGGCAAGGTCCTTATTACCATCTCCGTTGAAACCGTTGGAGACTTGAAGTGCCTCGCGCGATAGAGTATAATTGGTGAAAGAATAGTTGATTTTCTCTTCGAAGACTTGAAGTTCCTCGTCCGAGGGGAGCGCACAGATATAACGTCCCACCATGATGTCCTATGATCCAACGATAAATCTTGGCAAATGATAAAAATGGATTGAAAGTAGAAGTGTCTGGATGATAAAAAGGTTGGGAGATCATCTTGGTATTTATAAAGAATAGAGGGAAATCGAGTATGCCTTGTGGTGCGGAGTCGACATTTGTAAAAAGTACGAGGCGCAGCACTGCGCAGCACTGCGCACAAACAGGGGTATAGAACAGAGATATACAAGGGAACATGTAACCTCCTATTGGTCAATCATACAAGCACAGTATCTAGGTAGTTAGATTGCCTGGATAATGATTCGGTTTTTGCCAGTCGTTTTGAGGCTCCAGGGTAGATGTGAAACAACATAGCCGCTTTCCTGTTTCGGATGTTCATGTAGTCGACCAGTATTTAATTTAAATAAAATTGAATACACGGGCAGTACAGAGCACATTCTACGGAAAATTTATATAGCAGGTCATGTATCTGATGACAACATGGGCAGTCTTGGAAAAAGAGAGGCTGATTCGATAGTGACATGATACAGATATGTACATATATGAGTGCTGACCCTGACAAACAAACTTGATCTATTGTGGAATCCCAGTGGTCTTCAAAGCCGAGCTACCTCCTTATGGATAGTCTCAGTGTTTAAAGCCGCTCGAGATTTCAAGTTCAACCTCCTCCACATAGCTTTACGACGTTCAAGTCCCTCAAAGAATGCTCTTACCCACTCGCGGCGAAACTTGGGTAGCTTGCGTCCCTTTCCCTCTACCCCCTCGCCGGCTAGACGTCGTAAGGTCTCGAAGTAGTCCTCGAAGTCTGGGAAGAGCAGTGTAAACTTGACACCATCACCCCGAGCCTTGACACGATCCGCTTCCCATTTTTGCATCACTTCAGCAGACGGTAGAGTAGCTCGGCCAGCCAGCAGCCGTGCGGCCAAAACAGATTGCCATTCGAAGACCTTGAACGTCAGACCAGCCGCAACAGCACCGACAAATAATAATGTCGGGTCTTTTTGCCAGACAACGTGTTGGTACAGATCGGGGACCCGGTTATTGCGCACTGGGACTGATGGTAGGAATGGCAGCGTCCAGCTGTAGCCTGTGCCGAAGACTATGTGGTCAACGTCTGTAATACAATTCCCATTCGTCAAGTGCACAGTCCTGTTCGAGACTCGTTCTATTGAGGGATGTTTTTGGATCTTGGGGTGATTGAACGCCTCATCGCCGAAATACCCATTAGCGGCATGTCCAATTGTGATTGCATGGACTGGTGCCTTGGCTGTTTCCACTAGATCGACTGCGATGTCGGCTGCTGAGACGGATGCGCCCACGACTACAACTCGCTATAATAACCACGTTAGTATAATGAGCCCGATACAATAGAGTCCTGGAATTTGAGGATCTAGCTTACCTTGCCAGCGAATTTATCTCTCCCCCGGAAGTGTTTGCTGTGAATCACACTGCCAGGTCTGGTCTTCTCAAATGCCTCCAGGCCTTCTATTGCGGGTATATATGGAACCCAGAAGTGCCCACTCGCCACGACGACTGCGTCAAACCACTCAACCCACCAGTAATCACTCTGCTCTCCATTTTTGCGGAGTGTTACTTTCCACTCCGTCCCCACCTTCTCAACCAATTCCACTGTGGTATTGTATGAAACAAAGTCGCTGTAACCCCGGCGGTCGACAAGACTCTCAACATATTTTCGAACCAGATCCCACTTTCGGAATGGGGTGTCAGGTCCATGATGCGATATAGAGTGTGCGCTGCGCTCTGTTGGGAAAGGTTCTTGAGAGAACTGCATGGGCAGGAAGTCGACATTGGTTTCCAGATAAGGGTAAACAGACGACTCAGTAAAACGAGGCTGGTCTGACTTTGGAGTCTGCGCAGGTAGCTTTTCGGGGATAGGTAGTGGTGGATCAGCTGTTCTTGTCGCTAGAGACGCAAAGTCGCGGAGTGTTGGAGGCTGCGATGAGTCGCCAATCCTGTGTTTTTCATGTCAGTCTCGCAGAAAATTTTTTTGAAAGAAATTAACGAACCAGCATCCTCCAGCGCCCTCGCGACGCTCAAATACACGGATAATGTCAAAGGCCTTTTCTTGCGCCAGAGCATCTATGGCAATGGCTCCCGCCGGCCCGGCGCCGATTACCGCAACACGTTTAACAGGCACCATCATAGAAAATTATAGAAATTTAAAAAAAAATAAATGATTGAAACTATAGAATAATCCCGCGGTATAATTGCGATATATAGATGTAATGAGTGAGATCCCGCTGCAAATGCCGATCTGGGGGAAATTAGCCCCGATCTAGGGTTCGCTGCTGTCGTCGTTTATGGGCCTTGTCACGCAATTCGGCATCGCGGGGCTACGACCACGAACGAACCAGTTACGGCGCCAGAATACATTACTTGTCAAATTTATCTTCAAACCCCTTCAAATCCCGTTAAAGTAAGACGCGGCCCAAGAAAAAGAATTGTGGTTCAACACTGTTTCGAAGGTTCGGAACACGTTTTTTAAGGAGAGATTTCTCGTAGCACGCCATATTCATAAATTATGATATGGAGTAGAGCCAATGAAGTAAATATCTAGTAGCGATAAGACTAAGACAAGAAGAAGTCTATATTATATACTCTGTAGTTTATACTTGCTTGCAATTTTCATCGGATTCTGCTATTTCTGTTTCTATCTCTACCTCTCTCGCCATTAGGTATTAACAAGATCACTATTACCAATCTCCCCGAGGGGAAAGATATAGTATGGATCTCAAAGTGAACAATGAGAAGCTAGATCCCAATGATATCGACTCTTCATCAACGTTGGGCGTATTGCCAGAATGGGATCCCAGCCAGGAGCAAAAAGCACGCAGAAAGTAACTACCAATGACCCCCTATAGATACAGTATCAAGAATTCAACGCTGACATTCATTTCTCCCAAGGATTGATATGACAGTACTGCCTCTGCTTTTTCTCGGTCTTCTTGTCTTCCAGCTAGATCGCATGAACATTGCGAGTGCATTAACTGGTGGCTTCGCCGCTGATATCAACATTTCACAGTCCACAATCAATTTGGGGAATCAGCTCATGTTTATGGGTATCGTGGTCTTTGAGATACCATGTAACATGGCCTTGCAACGGGTATGTATGAGATCGTCTCTCTAGAAGATCTAATTCTGACGGGAGCTTTGACAGATTGGTCCTCGCACGTGGATTTCGGCCCAGGTCTTTCTCTTCGGTTTACTTGCTACTATGCAAGTATTCGTTCGTAGTCGAGGATCTTTCCTGGCTATACGACTGCTTCTAGGATTCGCTGAAGCAGGTTATATTCCTGGTGCAGTCTATACTTTGTCATCATGGTATACGAAAAGAGAATTGGCCAAGAGAGTTGCCATTTTCTTCTTTGGCATGTTTGGTGGAAATGCCTTGAGTCCTATCCTCGCCTCGGGCATCCTAATTCTCGATGGTCGACACGGTATTCGAGGATGGCAGTGGCTCTTCCTAAGTATGCATATGTTCTAAACACAAGTCGGCATTCGCTAACATACCAATAGTTGAGGGGTTATTCACTATCTTCGTCTCATTCCTCCTATCACTCTTCCTACCTGGATCACCCGATCTCACCAGGCCATTATTGAGCCCGGGACTTATCAAGTTCTCTGATTCCGAGAAAGACATTATTCAAAAACGACTCGAAATCGACAATGGCGGAAGTACTGAGGGCGCATATGGTGTGCATATTCCACTGAAAGTGGTCTTCCGTACTGTGGCTTGCTACCGTCGCTGGCCGCACTTTGTTTCTACATTCGTCGTGTTTTCGACATGGAGTCCTCTAACCACTTACACACCCTCCATCATCATGTAAGTTCTCACTGCCGTTCATAAGTAAGCTGATCTAATGCTAAATTGTACAGGTCACTCGGTTTCGACAGAACAGCAGCAAACGCCCTGGCCGCAGTCGGTGCATCCCTATCCCTTGGAGTGGTATTCTTCTTTGCCTATATGAGCGATCGAACCAACCAACGAGGTGCAACTGTGATCGCTGCTCAAGTCTGCTACCTCATCGCCCTGATAGTAACGTTCAAGGTCCAGCCCCATGCCGGTAAATGGTCACGTTGGGGACTATGGACAGCTGTGAACAGTTTAGCTGTGGGATACCATCCCATCCATAACTTCTGGGTTCAACTCAACTGTCGGGATCCGAGGGAGCGGAGTATCAGTATTGCGTGAGTTTTTCTTTATTCTTATTTTGGCCTTGACTGGAGCTGATGAGAGTCTTTACTGCAGTATGTGGGTCATGTCCGCAATTAGCGGTTTAATGGTTGGGACACAGTATTTCCAAGCGGGAGATAAACCATAGTAAGTGAAGGTATTCCTCGAAATTCACTTCTAGACAGCTTCTAATATCATCGTCTAGTTATTCAACGGGCCTACGTACCATGATCATTATGGTATCTGTGGGAATCGCGAGCGCTTCAGCGCAGATTGTTATTTATGTCGTTCATAATAAGCGAGTTGCTCAAGGCAAGCATCAGCCTAAGGATGGATTACCACCTATGGTGTTTGTCCCTTGAGAATAGCAAATCAATAGATCTATAGATGAGATGTCGTTCAGGTTATCTTTTGTGCACGGTCCTACTATTATCTCCTACCGAAAGCATTACTACCTACTTCCATCAACAAGTCCATAATATATGCAAGATATGCATAATGCTGTTTACATTGGGATGATATGTGCTAAGTAAACCCTGAGTAGTACATAAAATGTAGTCCAACACTGGTATGCTGGATGGTCATTTACAGATTCGCAATCCTAGACCTTAGGCTGGACCTCCTCCTCCTCATCAACATCCTGGGCCAGCGACTGTTCCTGGGCTAAAACCGAGTTAAAAATGACTGAAGATCGTACTAAAAAGAAGAACTTACTATTCCAAAGCTCTGCATAGGTGCCGTCAAGCTCGAGCAACTCGCGGTGTGAGCCCATCTCTGCCACATGACCTTGCTTCAAGACTAAGATTTGATCAC